CTCGCGGCTTTACGACATCACCTTCCTTACACCTAGAGGCGCTCGCTCTACGGCCGGAACCTTGTTGCTAGGGAGAGGACGGTTTGCGGCAACTGTAGAGGCTGATGAGTTTGAATCGAGAGTAGAGGAAAAAGTTCTCCTCAGGTGTCGTGGACTGGTGGAGGTGAAGGGGGAGATTGCATAACTCTGGGGACGTGGTCAGAAGGGTAGCAGGCTGTCAGAATGAGAAAGGTAAAGTAGGAGGCTGAGCGGCTTTCTGCTTCTGAACTGGCCACACCCGCCACGGCTGCCTGGGGCACGTAAGCGTCAGGCTAATTATTTTTCGGACCCTGTGCCCTCAGAGCTGCCCCTCGGAGTGTCCAGCGCAACCTGTCCTCCCTCTTCCTGAAGGTTAGGCTCCGCTGCTACTCTCTGCTTTTCTCCGAGCATCCTGGAGCCAAGGAAAGAGCTGTATCCAGGGAATTCCTATGATTAGGAAAAGGGCAGGTTCAGGAAACGATGAGGGGACTCATTTAGGAAGCTCAAGCCTCTGACGGCAGCACTCGCGGCGTCACTAGAGAGGCTACCTGACCCCGCAGCTTTGACTCCCTTTACACGGACGCACGCTTTTCCCCCCAGCAAACCGGCATGGGAAGTGACTTCAATTAGATTGAACTTCAACTGGACCGAAAGAGACGAGAAGTTCCGCTTGTAAGCAACCTCGGCAGTAAAGCGGAATGACTAATACCCACACTGCTCCTGTCTCACTTCCTCATCCGCGCCAGGCTCTCACCTGCTGTCACCTCGGCCTTCCCCGCCCAAACGCCTCAATCTTACAACCTCCCCGCTTTCCCCTCAGGGTAGACTGAGGGATTGCAGGCGTCAAGTTTAGATTTAAGGTATTACATTCATTTATTACCCAAATGGGAAGTTACCTCTATGTAGAATCTTAAGGAATAAAGACTAACAGATGTAGTCTCTGAGATTATTAATTGCTGATTTATTCTAAGGCCTTGACTTTGTACAACTTTGGGGGTTTCTGAGACTGTAGATAATATCTGGTATACAAAGAAAGTCAAGTCTTTATAGATTTCAGTAGCATTTAGTTTTCCTCTTTTGTGCTCTCACCCTTTCAAATGAGGAAATGTCTTTGGGATCAATTTTATGGAATAAATGAGCTGTGATGCATTTCAAATATCTTGTTGTTACAAATAAATAATGTTAGAATTGAGAAAACTGAAATGTGACAAAGTTAGAAATAACATAAATCACGTAGCCCAGTACTGCACATAGTAGGTGCTCAATAAAGTATACCTATACTTTTTGCCATACTTGTGGCAGAATTCTCTATTATGTTAAAATTATATTTTACCCATCCTGCTGAATTTTAGAAGATTCATTAATAACCTCGTCAACCCTTTCAACTGAAATAAATTTACAGCTAAAGTCTGGTTTTTGAAATTAGAGTGTTGAATCCTGATACATGTGAAAATTTTCTCTCCTGCATTTGCTTTGACATTTGAGAAGTGAATGCATTATTTATTGGTGCATGAAATGTGACTGTAAACATTCTTTTACTATACATTATGTCTATGTATCTACTCTCACCCTCAACCCCCAAACTAGATTATTCTTAATGATCCTTTTAAGTGCAGGCAGTCCTCGCTTTGCTCAATGCTGTGTTACCTGAAGTTCATACATGTTGAAACGATGTCCTTGTTTTGCATAATTCGGTTGTGATCTTTCCTCCTCTTTTAAGAGCTATATGTTGTTGGTATGTGCCATCGAGTCGGAGCGACTCATAGTCATAGTGGCCCCTTCTTGGGTTTCGGAGGCGGTATCACTATGGAAGTAGATTGCCCCATCTTCCTTCGGAGGAGTGGCTGGTGGATTTGAACCACCAGCCTTCTGGTTAGCAGTCAGGCGCCTTAGCCACTATGCTACCAGAGCTCCCAAGAGCCTATATAGTGTTCTTCAATTGCCTTTTGAATCAGGTCAAGGTCTATCTTTTGCCAACAATTTTTCCACTCTATACAATTTTTTTTCCAGCTGTCTTAATTTCTGATCAGAAAGAAAATAAATACTTTCTAACTCTAGCACACATTTTACCTACCTTTAAACTTATGAAATATCACATGTGACATTTTCTCTTTACCTCTACTGAACTTCATTCTGTGTTCATCCTCACCTTGAAATCATAAAGAATCAACATGGATGGACAATAAGAGTAGAAGTCATTTTCATTAGTGATTATTGGCTTAGTTATCTTGGGCTAGTTTTTTTTTTTTTTTTTTAATTGTTCATTTCTGTGTCCCTACACCTAGCACAGTGCTTAGGCACATAGTAGATATCCAATAAATATTTCTTAAATAAATTAGCATTGTTGACATTTTCTGAACCTGTTCTTGGTTATGAAAGTGGGGAATTCCTTTCATCATGTAAGTTCTTGGGAACTAGTGACATCCTGAGTATGGAAGTTGTTTACTCTCATTCATATTCTACCTTATTTCCAGACTAGTCACTCAATTTTAGTTTCTCCATAATAATTTTCTCCAAATGATTAATTCTGCAAGGAAATAATATCCAAATATTTTGATATAAAATCTCAATTTTATAAAATCCTCTGATAATTATATAATAAATTGAATAGTTGGTTAATACACTTCATTCACTGTAATATTTGTGACATTACTGAAATCTTAACTGGAAAAGAGATAAAAATAATCTCAATAAATTGCTACTATAAAGCTGATGCATGTGTGATGATTGCTTCTTTAAAATATAACTTAAGAATTAGAAAAAATTACTAGAATCAATATAGAAACGGAACACATTTATTAAGATTTAGCTATGTTTAAATCAAATGTTGAGAGATGTAAGAGATTAACATGTATCCTGCATTATTGATACGTAGTAATTTTGGTGCCATCATACAATATATACTTCATGTATACTCCTAAATTTAATAAGCATCAGTGAAATGTTAATGTGTGGAGCTTTATAATAAAGATACATACTTTAATACACTGACTTTTAAACCTGCCTCAATAGAGTACTGATATTGCATATGCTGAAGGAGAGATAGTATGCTGAAAATTCTGTAATCTCCCAATTTACAAGGGAAAATGTAAATCAGTAGAATATTTTCAATATTGAGTTTTTTCTATAAATTTTTCATAAATTCTGCACCTGCTATTTGCTTTCTATAGAAGAATCATGTATAAATTTGGATAAAATTGGACCAAATTAAGTTTAAAATGTTGATATTTCATGATATTCCACATTGAACATAAGTTTTCCACATACCTCACTTCCTGAATATATCTGAGAAGTGTAACTTCTATATATATGATTCTATGATCTTCATCAAAATAGTTGGTTATAGTTCATGGAAGAATAACACATTGGTGCTGCTACTCAATTCAATATGTAATTTTAATTTCAGAGCTTTGAAGAAAAGGGAATAAATTTAATACATGTTACCCTTCAAAGTACAGCATATAAGGTCCCCTAAAGCTATTCCAATTAACTGCTAACCAGAAGACTGGCAGTTCAAACTGACCAGCCACTCCTGGGAAGGAAGGTGGGGCAATCTATTTCTGTAGTGATACTGCCTCAGAAACCCAAGGAGGGGTCGCTATGAGTCGAGTCCGACTCGATGGCACATAACAACAACAAAAGCTACTCCAAAGGAGCTGAGTCAGAATTGATTCGATGGCAGTGAGTTTGAATGCTTTTTATTTTTTTAAAAAAAGCTATTCCATGGCCCAAGAGTGACTTGATATGTGATTCACAATAGGACAAATATGGGCAGTGGTCATTTCACTGCTGCAATTTCACCAAATTCTGCAGTCATTGACTCAGGAAGGAAACATGACTATGGGGTGATGCAGACCCAACAGTAGTTCTCAGGACCCACATTGACTTTTCAGATAAAGCCTGCCAGGAGATGGTAATAGGGACAAATATTTTCCCCAAGCCTACATGTGATTTTGAATCAACTCAAAAAAGGGTTTGGGTTTGGTTTTGGTTACATGTGATTTTATTACATACTGCACCAACACCACAAAATGGTTTCCCTCTCTGTGGAGTAACACTTGTTTTTAACATAAATTAACAAAAGATTATCGTGTGGGACTTTTTATTTTGGGAGCTATTTTTTGGGAACATGCCTAATGTATATAGATGTGGTAGTTGAGGTTGTGTGTCAACATAGCTGGGCCTTGGTTTTTAGTGGCTTGGCAGCTGGATGTAGAATAACTATATGATGGTACTGAAATCACCTCTATGGTGGAATATGCTATGAGCAGCTAAGTAGTAGGAGGAAGTTGCTTTTAGGGTGTGGGCTGCTTCTAGTATATATGGAGAAGAGAAGCATTGGGAAAGGTCTCTAGCATTTTAGCATATTTCACACTGTGTTACCTGCCAATCTTGGGATTGTTCCTGGATGTGAGGCAGTGGCCTACCATGTTGCCTACTGGTTTGGGGATTGTGCCATTTTACTTTCTGATCTTCCTTTTGTCAACCTCACCAGCCAGCAGCTGCATGAGTTAGAAGAAGCCTCTAGCTCCGTTTGACCTGGAACAAGAGGCAGAGCCAAAGCCTAAGGTCTAGGGGCTTTCACCCAGCCCCTAGAGCTGGCACTCTGAATTAGATCTTCTAGCATCTTAAACGGGAGTTCTGGTAGCATAGTGGCTAAGGCACTTGACTGCTAACCAGAAGGCTGGTGGTTCAAACCCACCAGCCACTCCTTGGAAGGAAGGTTGGGCA